TGCATGGTAGAAGTTTAAAGTAGATTTCAACCTGACCTTCAGATTCCTGGCTAGATACTTTTGTTACACGATTAATATAATGAAATGAAACAGATTTTTGGAGATTTCGGGTTAAATTGTCAAAACGGATATTTCATAATTCCATAATTCTTTCAAGTTTTGATATGGCGAATAGGCAGCAGAAAACATGTTACAGTGTCCTTGACCTTCAGAGTTAATGGCACGACATCTAAATACAAAATACGTCTCCCAAGGGTTCTATATCATTGAGTGAGTGAGTGAGTGAGTGAGTTTGTTTTAGGCCGCTTTTAGCAATATTCCAGCAATATCACTGCGGGGGACACCAGAAATGGGAATCACGCATTGTAGCCACGTGGGGGGAAACGAACCCGGGTCTTCTGCGTGACGAGCGAACGCTTTAACCACTAGGCTACCCGACTGCCTCGTATATCACATGTTCATCATACAACGCAATGTTTATCCAAGCTGTGGTAGACGCGTTGAGGATCACTTCCTTTCTTGACTAACAAGATCTTTTTATTAGACAACTGCATTTTGATGTCTATTTCCGGTCTACGTCTCGTGACTTTGATTACTGCCATATTTGTAACAAAGACATATCTTATAAGTGAGTGAGTTTAGTTTTACGCCGCCCTCAGCAATATTCCAGCTGTTTGGCGGCGTTCTGTAAATAATCGAGTCTGGACCAGACAATCTAGTGATCAACAGCATGAGCATCGATCTGTGCAATTGGGAACCGATGCCATGTGTTAACCAAGTCAGCGAGCCTGACCACCCGATCTCGTTAGTCGCCTCTTATAAGTGACTGAGTTGGGGTCAACAAAGAAGATGACTTTTGTACACTATCACAAAGTTTCTGAATGACTAAATTCAAAGTTACTTTCAGTGTCGAACCTTCGCTCCTCTTAAAGGACCTTTATAATGCTTATCCATGTGAATACCGAATTTTAATCTAAGGTCCAGTGTTTAGTTTTCTTCTGGTTTTGTATTCGAAATTTGCATGTCTATTACAATCCAAGATATTATCATGAACAATCATTGTTTCTAAGATATACCGTTTGCGAATTTTGTGTGATTGTAGTTTTACTCCGCACCTATCAATAGCAATAATCAAGCAATATAACGGGGGGCAATATAACGATTCAGGATCAGACAATCCAGTGATTGATATCACGAGCATCGGTGCTTAAAGTCACGTGTTTCGCTTGATTTCAAGTAAAATTATCTTTATCTACCCATGTTTATCGTAAGAGAGAAAGAGTGAATTTAGTTTTACTCCGCTTTTTGCAATAATCCGCTTTTACAGCAATACCACGTCGGGGGAACTTATCGTAAGAGGCGAGTAACGGGATCGGGAATTCAGGCTTGCTTGAAATTTAGTTCACACTTGTCGTACTGTGATGATCGCTGCTCTTGCGAAGTCACTGGATTGTCTGGCCCCGATTTGAATAATTACACACTGCTCTCATTTATATGTGTAGCTGAATATTACCGCGGGGCAATATTCAAAGACAACCATACATCCAAAACACCCAAGCACTAACTGTCCTGTATGTGGAGTTCTCGGATTAACGGGGTCCAGACTAACTGCTTCACTGTATGACATATTGAACCTATACTTGGCGTATACAGCGTAGCGTGAGCGTCGCCTGAAACGTACGGCGTCTTCGAAGAGTTTGGGTAAACAAGCGTTGTGTACAGACCAACATGTACGTACTGAAGATGAGACGCTCATCGAGGGCAATTAACAATTCTGACAGTACATGTACATCAACTACAGAACACGTGGTCTACCGAACATGTGTTTGTTTGTCATCAGCGTGATGACTGTTGGATAACAAACATACAATGACTGATATGTTAGATATAGTATACATTATACATATATACACATGGTATATATGCATATGCCTACACATGAGATAAAATAATACGCGTCTAAACAGATGGACGCGCGTTGTTATTGTCCAGGGAGCCTTCAAAATGCTGAATTAAACTACTTGAACTTTTTAAATTAAGTTCGATGAAATTACAGTGTTTGTGACGAGGCGATCAATCAATTAGTCAACGATAACGAAACAAGCCCCCTCCCCTCTCATACACGCACGCACGCACACACACGCACACGCCAAAACAAATTTGAATTTAAATAATTATTAAAAATACCCGTCGAAATTCAAGTCTTTCGTCGGCTTCTACGCATAATGACCTCACAGCAAGAATGTAGTCTTGTATACGAACTCGATGTATACTGAACCCCAAAAATTATGATGAATATTTTCTAGTCATTTTAAAGAAATTGTCTACAAAATTAATGACTAGTTCCAACATATCCGAGGCCTCACACACGTTCAAGGTTTTTATTAAATTATATATCTGCGAACGTGCTTCCTGTTCATTACGTGTCGCGCTAATATTAATCAAGAGTGACAGTTATATCAAGTACAACGTTCTACCTGTCAATCAGTGTCAGGCATGAAATAGATTACAGTCATCACCAGGTGTAACTAAATACACACTAAATTAGTGTGTTTAACCACATATACACGGTATGCATCCGATGAAGCGGAACCAAAAAGAATGCAAGTGATTCATAACGGAGGTAGGATCTACGCCGAAACGAAATTGCAATAATATAGTTGTCTATCCATACAAAATTGTTCCTCTTCACCATACTAACTTCTAAATGCCTCTTAAGAAGTCGATGAAGACTTGTTTGATGAAGATACCACCATCTGCACCGGAACGTGGCTTTAACGCCACAAGGAAACTGAAATCCTTATGTCAACCCGTGCTCATTCAAACGGCGACATCTTAACTTGCACTTAACGAGATTGTATGGTGTTTGATCGATCACAGGTACCATTTCCGTACCTGGAATAATTGATTGTGTAAACTTGGAGACGGAGGAAGAGGGTCCACTTACTGAGTCAACTTTTAACGTAATTGGAAGTCGAAAGAATTGTTGTTAAATGTGATTATGTCTGTTTTTTAAGCAGCGCTCATTCCCGAAACTGTTTGTGTAAAACCTTTGGCTGAGTTAAAGGAAATGTGTTCAGTGAAGACTGGGGTAAGACGTCACCACATGACCCCTGTCATGTTTGAATTGTAAGTTTGTGCCGAAAATATTGATTTTCAGAGATAAAGCGTCAACAGTTGTACATTATCAACTTTAAAGTTTTGCAACAGCTCAACCAAATTATGAAAGTAAAACAAAATCATCTTAAGTGAGGGATGAGTACGGTTTTACGCCACTTATAGCAGTCTTTCAGCAATATGACGGCGGGAGAGACCAGAAATGGACTTCACACATTGTACCCATGTGGGAATCGAACCCTGATCTCCGGCGTGACGGGGTACGCTTTAACCACAAGACTACCGTATTTGCAAGTGCTGACAGCGCCAGACAAGAGTTCACTTTGGGATAAAATATCGCTAAGAAAAGCTTTCAATTCGAAATCAAACACGATACAGTAAACTAGAAGGAAGAGTTTCTTTGCCCCCAGGGTTTCTGTCGGGTGTAATTAATTTATACTTTCCGTTTGCATTATCGAGTGTAACTGTTTCCACTACTTTGTAAGGACTAGGTGGTACCATATATGGTATAAGAAACAGTTGGTTATAGGCCTTCAAGTTTGGTCCGAGATAGGTGGGTTGGACTGTATGTTATCTGGTGTGGCTACGGATACAAGGTAAATAACACTTACGTAACGAGGAAATCAGAGCCATGTAATAAACTCGTATCACGTTTGCTCGTGGACATGCATAGTAATCCGATATATTTGATGCATATACTTATCCTTGTATGACAGCGACTGAGTGAGAATAATTTTACGCCGCGTTTAGCAAAATCACGACAATGTCACAGGGACAACAGAAATGGACATCACACATTATGTCAATGTGGGAATCGAACGTCGGACTTAACGGGTCGACCGAACGCTTTGCCAATGAGGCTACTCCACCACCCTGTTAACGTGTGGTAGGCATCCCTATCTTCAGTTTAACAAACATGGGCGTCACACATTATATACTCATGCCAATAATGGTTGTCACCCCCTTCAATTTTTTTAATTGGAGAGGGGTTGGGGTTGTGAGGTGTGTGTGGGGTTGGGGTGGGGAGGGGGGTGACAACCATTATTGGCATAAGTATACATGTGTATATGCCAGGCCTTAACATGTCGATTGAAGGCTTTGTCCACAAAGCTCCCCCGCCCCCACCCCATATGTGATAGGCATTTGGAGATTGTTCAGTTTTATTCGAAATAAAAATGGGAGATCAGGAATATTTCTTATTGAATTGAGTAGTATATTTTCTGCTTTTAGGTCAATAATGTTACAGGTGTTGCTAGATAACGTTACCTATATTACAACGACATCGTTAACAGAGTCGCTCTGTAGACATCGTGGTTTGCGTCTATGCATAATATTTCTGTTGTTAGGGTTAACCGAAATTAATATTGGACGGTCGATATAATTAAACGTGTAAATATTGAAGTTCAAATGGTAGCCCCGCAAATTATATTTGGGGGAATATATATGACGCGTCTACATATGATAGTACAATATTATAAATTGAATCAATAATATTGTGCTTTTATGGAAAAAAACAACATGTTACTATATTTTGAATTGCAAAACAGATTGTGGTATTTGTGAACTGCTCTCTCTCTCTCTCTCTCTCTATCTCTCTCTCTCATTAATTCTCAAATTACGTACCGCCCTCATTGTAAATTTATAATTATTAATCTGTCTAATTATGTATCTGTCCCTGTTCTCCAATATTCATAACGAAGTTGACAGTATTTGACAAATATCAACACACTGCAATATCATCAATATCAACACGCGGGTACCTTCATCAATATCAATACACATACATTGCAATTTTCTGGAAATAAAACATTTCTGTAAGTAACTGTGTAGCAAAGAACATTACAACCACGAGTCCAGATTGAGATATGGTGTATACACTGTACCTGTAGTCCCAGAAAGGAAAGTTCCGTTGGTCCCCCGTCTGTTTCTTGTGGCCGTACGTCCGTTGTAGGTACGTCTCCATGCTTGTCTCACGACTACACGGGTACGAGGGAATATCCGAGTGGTTGTTGATGCGTCAACAGGTATATGTTTAGATCACTGCTGTCACCGTCGACATAACGACTTTTTAAGTGTGTCACACTTTCAGTAACGGTCACGCACTCCTGTCACAGATTGTCACATATAGGTAAAACGTTCCACTCCAAACTTCACAACGTTTCCGCGTATACTTTTAAATCCATATGAAATAAAATGGCGTCGTCTATCAATGCGAGTCAGACAAGTTATCGCAGCCGTTCCATATCAACACCGTCCGTCACTTAACCGACATAATCTGAACAAGGCGAACTCGCTCCGCACTGCTTGGCGAATAGGACTCGCTCAATGGTGGATTAACAGCCAAGAAGCTACCAACGGTGAACTGATCTCCTAAACTCCACACACTGTTTGAATTCTCTCATACCTTATCGCCTCACCGCTGAGCTCCATACAGCGCCAGACAGGTAAGCTGAATAGGGTTAGCGGTAAACAAAGCCACTTTGGACTGTGACGTGAATGGGGGGCTGTGTACAATAAGACAGGGGTTAGGGGAGCGAGGGTTGTCAGAGCGTATACCTTAATGCCGTATTAATCTGGCTATGTGCCAATAGTTTATATATAACTACTACCGATAAAGAATGCCCTGACACCTACTGAGGTTGACTAGGGTTAATAATGAAGGCAAGCTCTGGAACAAAGCCGCGCGATATTACAATGACCTGTAATGACTGGGAATAAATGAAATCCGTATTTTGGTAAGTGTTTCGAGAAATAGCTAGATTGTATCTCTTATTAATACGTTTGTTTAAGTATGTAGTAGTGATCTGTGTAGACATCGTGTGGCGAACTGTCTGTGAAATGGACAGAGAGCTGAGGTGACAGCCCAGCGAACTACTGCGGGAGATTTATTAATTTTCTACACACTGATATAAGATTAATCTGTCATGTTGTCGAAGCCTTGCAACCCTAGTGTAAAGGTCAAAACATGACACCATGTTTTGGTAAGGAATATAGTACCAGGAGTATGACTCAACATGTTGCTTGTTTGTTTGTTTGTTTATTTATGTGTTTGTTTGTTTGTTTAACGCCGCACTCATTGATCAACATCATGAGCATCGATCTACGCAGTTGGGATACGATGACATGTGTCAACCAAGTCAGCGAGCCTGACCACTCGATCCTGTTCGTCGCCTCTTGTAAGCATGGGATGCAAAAGACCTCAGACAATATGTAATGTTGTATTCTGATGGTTTAAGCTTATTTCAGTTTGGTTCCAATTCACACCAGCACCAGGCCAGTGTCCGGCTATGTGAAACCGGCCTGTGACTACTTAAACCAGACAATTCAGTGATTGGTATTATGCGAAACATCTCACGCAGTCGGAGTAAAGTGCAACGCTTGAACCACCAAACCTTCCCAAGATAATTTTACTGGCTTTTTACTACTAACGAAGAGGGAATCCTTCTGACAAGGAATTTAGACCGTGGGACATCTGATCAACACTTAGAAATACAACTAATTTTTAGATGTTTTCAATAGTTTGAAACAGAAAAAAATGGGATAACAATAATTGTGATTGTATGAAATGTTTAGTTCACATATTGAGAGAAATTCAAATATTCAAACTATGAGAATATGTACCAGTGCAGCTTCTTGTCCCTTTAACGGGTATTTTGGTTGTACTGATGACAGTTTAGTGCTAGTCCACTTACATAACTTACGGGGCGATGGGGTGGCCTTGTGGTTAAAGCGTTCGCTCGTCACGCCGAAGGTCCGGGTTCGATTCTCCACATGGGTACGATGTGTGAAGCCCATTCCTTGTGTCAAACGTCGTGATATTGCTGAAATATTACTAAAAGCGGCGTAAAACCCAACTCACTCACCGAATACTTTCAAATTGCCTTTAAGAAACGCCATGATATTTTACGTGCGTTTCATAAATGTATTGCGTTGGGGCGCCTGGTCCATCTGAAACTGACTGACTGAGTTTTGGTTTTACGCCGCTTTTAGCAATATTCCAGCAACATCACGGCGGGGGACACCAGAAATGGGCTTCAAACATTGTACCCATGTGGGGATTCGAACCCGGGTCTTCGGCGTGACGAGCCAACGCTTTAACCATTAGGCTACCCCACCGCCCCGGTCCATCTGAAAGAAGTACCAAAATGCAAGTGTAAATTCTTAAGACTTTCACGTGTGAGGTCCGACTAAGAGGAAATTTTGGATACAGCGATGTCTTTTCAAAACACTTTTTACCTTGCGTTTGGAGAGAGCCAGATCAAGAAAGACGAACTTAAGAAACGTAGTTACGAAAATTCGAGGGCATAATTGAAAAAAGATGCCTGCCAACTAAGTTTTGAAAGAAGAAATTTGACGAACATAACTTCCCTACGACCCCCTACGGGAAATTTTCTTTGATATTCACTACACATACAACCCTTGAAGGTCTGGGTTAGAATATTGATCTTCAGTAGCCCATGCTTGTCGTTGGAGGCGACTAACGGGATCGTGTGGTCCGGCTCGCTGACCTGGTTGACACATGTGGAATCCATTTCTCTGGAACCAGGAATTCTTCTAATCATGGGCGATTTCAACATCCATGTGGACAATCATGCTGATCGCATGACTAAGATGTTTAATGAATTGTTGAGTACATTTAATCTTGAGCAACATGTGACAGAGCCCACTCACAGATCAGGCCACACACTCGACTTCGTCATTATTAAGGAGATGTCACAGAATCACAGAAGTTATCGACGAACAAATGTCAGATCACTTTGCTGTTCACTGCACAGTCGATGTTGACAGACCAAAACCACAGCGGAAGAAGCTGCCATACAGAAAAACTAGGAACATTAACATTGCAAATTTCTAATCTGATGTTGATGCTGCTGACTTGGTCCCTGCCCTGTCCAAAATCAGCAATATTGATGAGAAGGTTGCCTTGTTTGACCATTCTCTGGAGGTGACACTCGATACTCACGCACCAATGAAAACACAAACTGTAGTAGTACGTCCTCACACATCCTGGTACAACGATGACATTCGAGCAAAGAAGAAGACCATGCTTCTGAGAAACAGTGGCGTTCTACAAAGTTAGAAGTTCATCGTCAAATCTTCAAAAAAGCTCGATATGACGTCAATGATGCCTTGAAACTGGCTAAGCAGAACTTCGTACAGAAGAGCATCAAGCAGAGTAAAAACAACTTCAAACAGATGTTTGCTCTGGTGAATAACTTACTTGCACCTAAGACTAACTATAACCTTCCCGATCATGACGACAAAGAAGAATTGGCTGGGAGATTTGCTGAATTCTTCCACACAAGATTCACTCCATTCGACAGGAACTGGAACTGAAACGCCAAGTTCACGACATCACTACACTGGAGTCCTTGGACAGTGTCCCAACAATGAATTCACTCAACTGGACCACTCTTGGAGAAGTTCGAGACGTAATGATCAAGTCCAAAACCAAATCATCTTCACTAGACCCAATTCCAACATGGCTCACAGAGTCTATAATTGACCATCTTGCTGAAGCAATCCTGGATATCATCAACACATCCCTTGTCTCCGGTAAAGTACCACGTGCCTTTAAGCATGCCTTGTGACACCAATTCTGAAGAAACCAACACTTGATCCAGTGAACTTTAAGAGCTATAGGCCGGTATCTAATTTGTCATTTTTATCGAAGTGTCTGCAAAGAATTGTTGCTAAGAGGCTCCTTGATCATCTTCACGCTAACAATCTCTTGGAAATCTATCAATCAGCATATAAATCCAAACACAGCACAGAGACAGCTCTTGTGTACATTCACAACGATATCATGACTTCAAGGGACCATCAGCAAGTTACTCTTCTAATTCTCCTGGACTTATCAGCGGCCTTCGTAAAGATCGGTGACAAAACCTCAATACCATCATTGGTTCGTTATGGAGTGCCACAGGGTTCTGTTCTGGGACCCCTTCTCTTTAGCATGTACATTCTACCAATTGGAGACATCGTGAGGAGTCATTCCCTAAAATTCCATCTATACGCTGACGATAATCAGTTGTATATTTCCATCAAACCATCAGAAGTTTCACAAGGAGTTCATAAGATCGAACGCTGCATTATGGATATCCGGGAATGGATGGCTGTCAACTATTTGAAGTTGAACGACAGCAAGACTGAATTCCTTGCCATAGGCTCACGGCAACAGCTGGAGAAGATGCCACCTGGAATCACACTCAAGATAGGAACTGAGGCTGTGAAGACCTCAAACTTAGCCAGAAATCTGGGCATCATCTTCCAGTCCAAAATGGCCCTAGATGAATATGTCAAGTCCCTCTGCAAGTCATGCTTCTTTCACATCTACATCATCGGCAAGATCCTCAACTTCCTAGATACTGAGACAACAAAGCTCCTAATGCAAACACTTGCAATCTCAATGCTTGACTATTGCAACTCGTTCATTTGCAACACGACATCTTGAACACTTTCTAAATTGCAGAAAATTCAAAACGCAGCAGCTCGTGTGGTCTCTCGAAACCATCACCATGACCATATATCGCTAGTTCCGAAATCCCTTCACTGGCTTCCAGTAAAGTACAGGATCTACTTCAAGATTCTGCTACTGACGCATGACTGCCTCTACGATGACCAGTTCTGTGACTACCTTCGCCAGCTTGTCCATCTGCATGTACCCACCAGAGCTCTTAGATGAATAGATACGATAAGACTAACACAGCCAAGCACTAAAACCTCCATTGGTGATAGAGCCTTTTCTGTAGCAGCACCAGCTCTATGGAACAATCTTCCAGTCACCCTCAGACAAACTGAGTCCCAGTCACTTTTCAAGAACTTGCTCAAAACCCACTTCTTCAAAATGGCTTCTGAATAGAACTCTTTTCACACTTACTGTGTTTTTAACGATGTAAAAACGATGCGCTGTTGAGCATCTGTGATGGAAACTAGGCGCTATACAAGCCAATTATTATTATGGTTTACAGATTAAAGATGAAAATGTAGCAGAGAGGGTTTGGGTGATCCTGACACAGTCAGGCTGGTAAGGCTCATCATCAGCTCAGGGCCCTCTCCCCCCTCTACACGCAGCCCAGACAGCGAATGGGACTTCTCCCAGGAAATATGAAGGCTCCCCAACACTGCAGCCTTCTGCATTACCCAGAGTGTCAGAAGGGCTGTGCTCCCGGTGGAGAGCCAGACACTCTCCTGATCTGCGCCAAGAGATCAGGAGGTACCAAACCAAGGGCACCGAGAACAATGGGGAGCCTGACGACAGTGTACTTGGGATACAAGCGAGACATTTCAAAGGCGAGGTCCGCATATTTAT